CCGAACCTTCTAATCTTTTGGATTTAATTTTATTCCCCATGCGCTTCACTTATTTATTTTAGAAACCAAATCATAATTCTTAACTATTTGAAGGATTTGTTATATATTTTAAAGATTGACCCAATATGCTTGTGAGTATATATTTGTCGAATATTGTTTCTACATTCTTNGACCAGGTCAAAAAAATCTTGGTTTTTATTTTTCCATTTGTTATTTTTTCATTATTTATTAAGAATAAATTGAAGACAAGAAATATTAATAAAAACTTCAACCTTGAATGATATAGATGGTTCAACTTCTGATGCATTATCTTATTGGTACACGACTTTGTAGTTTAAGGAGTTCTTATGACCTTTATAAGTATTATAGTAGTTGGTATAAGGTTAATTCATATACCCAACATTTTCAAAGAAATTTATACTTCCTCTTGTTAAACAGTTAGATCAGTTAAACTCGAGCAAAACGGTAATTTCATAGCTTTTGCCAGAATGTTGGACTGGACTCACTACAAGAATGTTATGATATTCCAATGAAAAATTTCAACGGAAATATATTTCAATGGATTTCCAACGACAATTCTAATGGATTCAATCCAATTATTCTGTTTGAATTTTTCAATAAATTCCAACGGAAATTCTAACAAAAATATTCCGTTGGAATGAGTTTTTCGTTGGAATTTCCATGGGATTTTGACGATTCCAACAGTACATTTTCCAACGGTTGAAATATGAGTAAAAATAAATTTCCAACAGAAATTCCTACAATAAAGACCGTTAAAATAATGGTCGTTGGAATGGTAAAATTTCATTTAAATTTCAATAGAAAACTCATTCCAATGGAATAATTTAGTTGCAATTTTCATTAGAATATATTACCGTAGAATTTTCCGTTGAAATATGACTTTTTATTGTAGTGGCTTGGATTGAGCGTACATGCAATGCAATGCAAGAGGACGATCGCATGCAATTTTTGAAGAAGCGTGTTGCGTTTCTTTGAATGTAGGTTGCGTTAATGCTTTCGATGTGTTTTTACTCTTCTGACATTATATCGCAACAAACTTACAGAGTTGCTAAGCAACTATTTTTCTGCTTTATGTTGTCTTTAGTGTGCAACGTGTGCCTCTATGATTGGTTGTAAGTGTTCACGTGCTTGCTGTGAGCTCGGGGTTTGTTCTTGGTCGATATATGTGTAGAGAGCTCGTCTCTTTTGTTTTCAAGTGAATGAAAAAATTACAGGAACTCCTAAAATTGTTCTTTCTACCATAATTTATTTTAGCTAAAATCTACATGGTATCAAGAGCATGTAGCTATGGCGCGCAACGAGTCCATAACCAATGAAGATCGTGGGAAGGAAATTATGGGAAGACATAGTTATGCCAGAGATTCAGATACTTTATCTCTTCATGGATCAGACCATCTTGAAATGATGTTCGTTATTAATCTTCTTACTAGTACCGATATAACATGCAGAGTAGTTAGCTCAAGTAGACCTGTCTGGGAGAACTCTTGTTTGTCCAAAAGTAACTAATCTAGTCAGGGAGCTCGTATTCGAGCTTAAGATGTTGGCCGACCTGAAGACAACCACCTAGAGGTACCGATCTCCAAGAGCTTGGCAATAAAGCCGACCACGAAGTATCGAGGTCGTAAGACCTGAGGTCGGGTTAGACCTCAAGAAAGTTAAATTCGACATCAGTGAAGTCGTAACAAGAAGGTCGAGAGGTCATGCTTACGACCTAGGGACCTACGAAAAGTTATTGATGATGAATCTCTGAATGAGTAGGTTATTCGAGTCATTTAACCGAATGATCACTTGTCCTTAAATTGTGTTTCGAGCCAAAACGACTATCCCCGACTCTTTAGCTTCATTATCATTGTTGATTCTTTGTTTTTGCCAAGGTTCTGAAAACCGAACCGTTCATCGAATCGGTGAAGTTACCGATTCAATGGTTCGCTAGTCGGAGCAGTGGTAGAGCCAGTCAAACCGGTTTAATTAACATATAATTTTAAATTATTTTATATGTATAATATATAATTGTATATATTTTTATTATTAATTTTATAGTGTATAATAACATTTTTTGAAATAAATAAAGAATCGTGTATATTCTAATTATTTTAGCTAATATATCTGATTCTAAGTGTAAGCTTACAATCAATATGCATTTTTTCCCCACATAATAAAATTAGCTTTATTTACGTTTTTTTTTTATAATAACATTATTAAATGAAGAATGAGTATTAAAAGTGTCAACTATCCCAACATGCAAATTGTCAAAGGCGCCACGTGAATAACAGCCCATTGTTTGTTTATAAACTCACATTCTTCAAGCACAGCCTTCCAGCCATGTAAGGCCCAATAAGCAATAACAGCCCAATGTCCTTATTTGTAAATATCCCACATCAAAAACTCAAACAAAACAAAACATCTATATAATTGATTTTTCAACCACCTGTATACGAAGCCATGAAGTGGACCGTTGAGCCGCACCAACCGTCATCGATTAACTGGTTTTACCAGTTTTTTAGCCCGTTTCGGGCCCGGTCCTGTGTATTGGATGGTTCCCGGTGGAACCAGCCGGTCCGATCTTGTTTTCAGAACCATGGTTTTTGCATTGATTTCTGATTTTGCGTTGTCTGAGATTCTTAATTAATAACTCAACCAAGTCTTCTGAATTAGAGTGTTATGGATTTTATTTTTTCTTTTGTGATTGAATATTCGTGCAAAATATTCTGGCTAACCTTCCTCGAGAGATCGACCCGGGGAACGAATCCTTTGATTCAGTACTCGGTAAAACTATAATTTGCTACAACATCGAGCTATTAATGAAATATGAAAATGAACATGCTATGCTTTTAATAAAAAATAAATAGGGCGTTACACAACTTCCCTCAATATCTTGGATCACAAGGAGGGCACCAAGAACTCACCCTCAACAAGCAAATTCAATGTGATACAAAGAAAAAGCAGCAAAGGACCTGGAAGCTCCCTATGCACCCAAAGTTGAAAAACTTTATGTGGAGAGTCTACCATGGTTTCCTAGGCACTAATAACCACTTGCTAAGAAGAGGATTGAAAGTGGACCCTACATGCAGTCTGTATGGAGAGGCTCAAGAAGATCTTGAACATCTGTTCTACCAATGTTCACAAACTAGGCTTTGTTGTAAGTTGATGGGTATTGAATGGACTTCTTTGCAGGACAAGACAAAGGATTTAAAAGGCTAGTGGGAAGAGATTTGTAGCAGTAACAGGTTTTCAAAATTTCAACCAAGGATCCTATTATCTGTCTGCTTATGCTGGAGAATATGGAGAGCAAGAAACAACAAGGTCTTCAACAAGGGATCAGCAGCTCAAGGGGGAATAAAGATCCATGATTGGCAGGAATTGGAGTGATGGGCTGAGAATCAAAAAATTGCCAATTTACTTGCAGCTAGAAGGGCCTTAGAAGAAGCAAAGAGAAAAGGATGGCAAGAGGCGCAATGCAATCTTCAAGATGAAAATCTACTGCATAATCTTAATGCTTTTTGTTCTTTTGATTCTTCTATGTCTGGTGTTGTTGAAGATCTTTCTGAACTTCGTAAGCACTTTTCATTTTGTGTTTTTTCGGTTTGTTCTTCTTTGTGTTTGGTTAGTGGCCTCCCGAGAAGGTCTTGCTTGTGCTCTTTTCTGGCTAGATGTTGGTTAGTTTGAAAAGTGTTTGCTCGTGCTCTTTTCTTGCTCGTGCTCTTTTCTGCTCGTGCTCCCGAGAAGGTCTTGCTCTATGTCTACCTGGAGGAAATGTGGAGTGGAAATATGATGCTCAGATGGATGGCAAAGTTGTTGGAGTAAGAACTCAACAGGCAGATGGGGCAGAGGACTCTCAAGATGCTATTTTGATAGGAGTGAGAGGAGCCCTGGCAGAAGCTATCAAGATGAAATGGAAGGACATTGAATGCCATGTGAATGATGAAGAGGTCCTCTGTCGACTGCAAATTTCAACAGCAACTAAGCCTACTTTGGCAGGAGTTATGGAAGACATTATCACCTTTCAAAATTGTTTCAACTCTTGTATATATGACTTTTATGCTTAGTTTAGTGTTGTGGTGTTTGTTTAACCATTTTCGGTTGTGTAGGGTGTTGTCATTTTGTAATGCCCGTCTTCTTTTCTAGTCTAGGTTGCTAGGATGGAAATGTATGTTATCAGTTGATCTCCGGAGAACTTCGTTATGAGTTTTAATATATTAATTTTCGTTTTGGAAAAAAAAAAAGACTTTTAATTTTGTAAAACACTGTTGGACAATTAAACAACGAAATAAAGTTAAGCAAATCCAACAGAATTTCAATTAAAAGAACAATTTTTATATTTATGTAACAAAATTACAGTATCACTCGTTTTTTGGAATACTGTTAGAGCAAATCCCACCCAGTCCAATACTTTTCTTTTCTCCAATCCATAACTAGCTAAAAAAAGCTCCATCAATTTAAGAAACATTAATAAAAAAAAGCACCACCAGTTTAAGAAACAATAATGGTAATTAAAAACTGTCCTTCCAACGCAATTAAAGAAACAATTGTAGTATTTAGAACACTGCAGAATTGAACTAGCTAACACTAGCAAAAAATACTCCAACAAAATACCTAAAAAACACCCGTGTAAATAGAAGTTGACAAAAAATGAAATATTTCATAAATAATATATTAAATTGGAGTATAGATATAACAACAAAAGATGAATTATATTATTTAATGCGACACTAATTTTGGAAATGGGGATGTATGGAATGGTTAAAGATGACTAACAATGGCTACATTCAGGTTTTGCCTCATCAAAAGCATCTCTAAAAATATGCAGATCCATTTGTAATGGTTTTGTTCTTGTATAAACTTTAAATTTTGAAAGACTTTGCTTAACAATTAAAAGTTTAAAACAATGAATCCGCCATTTACAATCAATCCCCAAAACAATTTCCTATTTTGCTAACAGCACAAGAACACAAATACTATTGATTTTCACATCTCATATATCAATTCAAATGAAATGGAAGAACCTCCTGCCGAAAAGAAAAGGAAATAACGTACTTCTCATAACGCTCTTCTTTGTTCTGCACCAATATTCAACATTCTCAAACATAAAATGTAAAACCACCAGTACAACGCAAAAAATGTCATCGCAATCTCTAGAAACTACATTTTCTCAAATGTTTCATCACAAGGATATGCCTAACGTCATAGAGCATCACCCATACAACTGACTGTAGATTCACTACAAACTCCAAAACTGCATTAATATTAAAAAAACAGCCAACCTGAATGGCCATGCTTAATAAAAGAACCCAAGCACTTTACCTCCCACATTCTTCCTGCGAGCTTCTTCATGATCCATGATCCCAGCCGATGTTGTCAACACAATATAACCGAACTGCAGAATGCATGCAAAAAATATGAGATGATGCTACAAATAACCTAGTAAAAATCAGACCAATATGGCTCAGCTTAAATTCAGGGAAAGAGAGAAGAGAGTTGAAAATTTTATTCCGTATCGAAGAACAAATTTTAAATAGGCACAAATTATGGCAGTCCACCGAACGACAACACAGTGCACGAAACCAGCCTACCCTTGTGTTTCTTTATTGCAGCCTCTATTCACATTTTAAGGTAAAGATGACAAGTTGCCCAAATAATAAGACCAACAAGACCAACTTTAGAAAACTACAATAAAAGTAGCAATGTAATTAAACTACAATAAAACCAACAAGACCAACTTTAGAAAACTACAAAGTTGCCCAAATAATAAGACCAACAAGACCAACTTTAGAAAACTACAATAAAAAATTTGGATTACACATTCATAAAGGACAGCATAAAATGTATAAACGGAAAAACAACTGAGTCGTTTCATCTAAAAACTTGTTCATTTATTTAATAAAAGTTGCAATGTAATTAAACTCAATAACATCTTCTGAATCTATTTCACATTATCTAAAGCCGAGAATTAATGAACCTTTGCCAGTCAATATCAAGGTTCAGAAATCAAGGTAATGTTCATTACACAGCAAAATGAGGTGACTAACATCAATTAATAAAAATATATTATGTGTACAAATGAGTGACTTGAACTTGTTACAGCATTTTCTATTTACCTGTCTAGATGGAAGCAGTCTCGCAGTCCAAGGCTCAATTTCCTTGACACCAACATCAAACCTGGGGCTAATGACCCCACATTTGTTTAGCCTTCCGTTTAACTCGACCACGATTTTTCCAGCCCGGTGGTCATCAACATACTCAAACTCACCAATGTAGCCTGTAAAGCCAGGAAAAAAGAAATTAAAATTATTCTGAAATTAAAAAAAAAAATTTTTTTTAAAAAAAGGGTCACATTAAGTACAGTAATACCATGCTTCTGCATGACCAGAAGAAACTTGATGATGACTTTTGAGGAAGGCCTAATCATGACCTGGCGTTTGCCCCTCTTCTCGGCATTGTACATGCTCTTCAAAGCATCATTCAAGACACTTACTCTCACCATCTTTCAAGGTAAACTGATTGTATATAGTAGGAAATATAAGTTAGAAAGACTGAATTTCAATTTCATACCTAACTATATGCCACAAGCCAGAGAATGTCCAAAATACTACATATAAACCATGAGTGGAGCTTCAAATTTATCCAGCACATCTAATGAACAGCTTCCAAATGCATAATGTCATTGGAAGAGCAACAGAAAATGAATAATTTGTAAACAATGAAACGAAACAACCAAACTGTGAAGAAAGTCGTGCAAGTAAAATCCTTGACAAATTTTACACCTTTATTGATGAATCACAGTTAATGAATTACCCACCAAAAATTTTTCAATACACTTCTCTACCTACCATCCATATATGAATAGCCCATTTCCACATATATTACGTTTATAAGCACAACTCAAGCTTTAACACTTTCTGGTTGAAACAATATTTGGAATAATGAGTAATCCTCACACGAATGGCAGACTTTCAGTCCTCAGAAATGGATACAGAGTAAATATGACAAAAATAACCAAAGACGGTGGCCCAATTCGCTTAACCATCACGGATAAAAAATATTCAAACTTGATGTTCCCTCACTCGAATCCTACCTATCAACGAGTATAAAGGCTCGAATCCGAATTGCAAGCAGCTAGTTCAAATGAAAGGGAAAGTAAAAGATATCGACAAATGCGAACATTAAAAGCACAAATAAGCAAAACTGAAGAGATAAAGATTTATTAAGAGAAGAAATTTGTAGCAGCGTGCATAAATGGATTAATAAAGAAATTTAAATCCAAGAGAGAACCTGAGAAACAGCGGCCGCCGCTCCTCTGATGTATTTCTTTCTTTTCTGTGGAGAGAGTGGTAAGGACTAACGAGGTGTTAGGGTTGCGATTTATAAATGGGGTTTTATTCTTCTTTTCCTTTTATTCTTTTTTTTCTCTCTAATTACAAAATCACCCTCACGGTGTATATTTATGATTTATTCATGAAAATAAAATGCATTCAAATTATAAATATCAATTAAACAATTTATCATTCGTAAATGTTGTTGTTTTAAATTTTAAAATCTATATCTATAGACTATAGCAATATAAAGAGATTACTAGTGTATATCCCGTGCGATGCACGGAAGAGTTCATATTTAAACATTTTTTAGACTTTATTTTAAATATAATTATTTATATTCTTCACATCTCGTCTATTATGAAAATAAAATAAATACAATCAATGAAAAATATATATTATTAAATACTTTTCCTTATACAATTTTTTTTATTTAAGGAATATTATTAAACCTTACGGTTTTGATTTGTTTTTTTAAATCAATAATCCAAAATATATGATTGTTAACGTACAAAAAATAATGGAAATAATCCAGACTTTAAAGTAAAGCTTTTTTTTATTATTTTACAAATAAAAATCTTCTAATTTTTTTTTTTAATTTCAAAAAAAATTTGGCAATTTTGATAATGAGTTAAATCAAGTTATACAAATGATTAAATAGTTAAAATGTTATATTAATTATATTTAAGAAATCCGATTATATAAAAATGGGTACAAAATATTATACTAATTAGTTTGTTAGGATTGTGATTATATGATTAAAATAAAATGAAATGTAACCAAAAAATTTGTTCGTGGTTTTTTCCTAAATGTTTGAATTTAAAAATCTAGTAACCAAATTTACATTATATCACGTAAGAAAAAAAATAAATAATAAATATTTATTAAAGAGATAAATCAATAATATTTATCACTTAGATAATAAATAATAAATATTTACATGTAAAAAAACAAATAATAATATATTTAAAAATATAAGTCAGAATTTCAAATAAAGTAAAAGGAGGATAACTCATTTTTAAAAAGAAAAGTTTCTAAATATTTAATATATTGCTAAGTATCTCCATAAGAATAATCATACCATTTTAATTTTAAAAAAATTGGCAAGTTTGTTAGAGAGGTAAATCCGGTTAGACAAATGATTAATTTGTTAAGATATTATATTAATTGTATCATAAAAAATCGATTAGATAATGTAGATAAAAAATATAATACTAATTAGTTTGTTAGAAATGTGATAATGAAAACCAAGATAAAATGAAATTTACCCAAAAAAAATTGTTTGGAATCTTTTCCTTTAAATGTTTGAATTTACAAATTTAATACCGAAATTCTATTATATCACATAAGGAAAAAATAAATAATAAACGTTTATTAATATATTAAAATATGTAATTTTGAATTTCATATAAAGTAAAAGGTATGCTTATTCAAATTTATTTTTAAAATAAAAGTTATGATAAACATTTATTGATTCTCTTTCAAATATATTAATAAAATAAAAATATAAATTTAAACAAATTTTGAAACAACCAAAAAAATCGGATTGATTGGCATAAAAAAATGAAGTGAAATCGGATTTGAATGCTAAAATCGAAACACCTTACCAAATTGAATGCTAAAAGATTCGATTTGATTGGTTACCTAATTGCATGGGCTGAAAAAATTCAAAAAAAAAAATTACGAATTGAAGAAGCGGGAAAAACACTATATTGAAGCGGGAAAACGAAATGATTATTTTCGGATTGTTCAAATAATTTTTCTTCTCCGTATTATATAGTAATAGATTGGAAAAATATTTAAATGGTAACTTTGACTTAAAAAATAAAGTATTGACTTACTAATATAAGTAATATTCTACAGCCCACATGTCATAATGAGTTTTAAGAATTTTGGTAAATCTTTTAGCCAAAAATTTGGAAAGGGGTTCGAATTTTTTAATCTTTTTTTGTACCAACATATATTTTTTTGGGTATTTGTATGTGAAAAGAAAATATGTGCACCGAGTACTCGAAAACTGTCGTCATATACATATGTTGGAACTTATCGGCCGGGAGGGCATCGCACTACTAGAATATGAATCATCAAGAACAAAAAATTCCGTTGGTTAAAGTTTATTTTCCGTTCCTAATAATAATAGGAACAAAAAAAATCTGTTTCATTATTGGTTAGTGAAAACAAGGGTTCTGATGCTCAGCTCAGAGACGGATTCCGTTCTGTTGCTATCAGTAACGGCTTTTGTAACAAGCAAGCCGTTTCTAGTCTTCGAGAAATAGCAACCAAATTAGAAACGAGACTATTTGTTACTAATTAATGAGTAATAGAAACCAAATTAGAAACGAGACTATTTGTTCCTAATTGTTCATTATTAGAAACTAAATTAGAAACGGGAATATTTGTTCCTAATTATTCAGTAATAGAAACCAAATTAGAAACGAGACTATTTGTTCCTAATTATTCAGTAATAGAAACTAAATTAGAAACGAGATTATTTGTTCCTAACTAATCAACAATAGAAACCAAATTAAAAACGGATTATTTTGTTCTTAATATCTTAATATTAGTGACAATTACAATATAATGGCATATTCCCATTTTTATTGTTGCATTCAGTAAAATTGTTTTGCATCAAATGAATTCATTAATACCACTAAAAATAAGCAAGCAAGATTAAAGAAAAATAAAATAAAATACAATTATTTTATTTCATCAATACAATAATAAAAAATTCAATTGATAAAATATCAAAGTACAATTAATACAAACTACTAATCATTTTATATCCTCAAATAAAATTGAAAGTAATATTTTTAACATTTCATGATTATGCCCCAATAGAACTCGCTGAGCCTTCTCTCGTTCTTGTGCCGCATAGATGAACCCGTCATACATTGACAGCTTGTTCAAGCCAAGATACCGTAATGTTTCCTGAGTCGCTGATATGAACCCTTCATATGTTGGTAGCTTATTCAAGTCCAGCTGCAATATCAATGCTTACATTCTTGGGTCTGTATATAAGGATCAAATTATTCTGTCGTATCATATATTAGTGAAAAGAAGAAAAAAAAATTGCACTTACATACTCTCGCGGATAATTCAAATCCCATCCTATTCTTTAGCGTTTCACTCTCATAGAAGTATGACTGCCAAATAAATTTATCTCATCTTATTCTTTGACGTTTTACTCCCATAGAAGTATGACTGCCAAATAAATGTATGAGTGATAATACTCAAAATGTAATTGAGTTCAATAGGTAATAAGATGATTTGAAGTTCAGTAGTTAATTGAAGAGTTTTAGACGTGGTCAGTTAATAGGTAATAAGATGATTTGGAGTTCAGTAGTTAAGAGAAGAGTTTTAGACGTGGTCAGTTATTTGATATAGGATGTGGTAGTTATTATGTTTGAAACCGTGAGTTATTCACTTAACTTATTTATTAATTACAACTCAATATTTATTAATTAACTACATCTCCCTATTTATTATTAACTTAACCTATTTATTAATTACTACTCAATATTTATTAATTAATTGCAACTTCCTATTTATTAACCTAACATATTGTGCAACTCAATAATTTTTTTTTTTTTTTCCAAACGATAATAAGACTCATATTACTCAAATAAATAGAGAGTTTACAACCGCATGGCCAACTAGCCAAAATACAACCCAGAGAACCACTCCAAATGGTGGCCTCATAGAAACGACAAACAAGAACAACAGGCATAACAGAAGTTAAGCGACCCTGCGTCCTCAACATAACCTAGAAAGTCCAACAAACTACAACTATAAAAAAGAAGCAAATTCCAAGCCACTGAACCGTAAGGGACCTAGCTATGGATACACAACCGGAACAAAAAAACAAAACACAAAACCAACAAAAATAGAACCTAGAGAAAAGGAAGATAAGAAGCCTCAGTCCATTCTCTGTGAGCAAGCTTGGCCACTGTCTCCTCAGGCATCCATTCCTTCTGAAAGACCCACAGGTTCCGGGATTTCCACAACCACCACAATATGTACGTGGAAAGTTGAATGCGCGCTTCAGCTACTGGTGTCAGCTTCATTTCAGCAATGTGCCACCACCAACCTTTAAATCCTGTGTAAGCAGCTTCAGAGAAATCCCAAGACAGAGTTGAGGCCTTCCATACTAGCTGTGCCCTCCTGCACTCAAAAAATAAGTGTGCCACAGTTTCAATCTCCTCCCCACAGCATCTGCACAAAGGCTCCACCTCGATTTTCTTATGCAGCAAATTCTGAGCAACTAACAAGTTGTTAGTAAAACACTTCCATAGAAAGTGTCTCAGCTTAGGTTTAACTTTCAAGGACCAACACCTCAATCTAGCTATCTTATCCAGCTTCTGATTATAGCTACAACATGGAGAGTCAAGTTTTAAAACCTTTTGATTAATAGCCACCTCATAAGCAGAAGCCACAGAAAAAATACCCTTAGCATCAGGACACCAAATCCATCTGTCTCTCTCTTCTGGATTCAGACCTTTCAAACTCAAAATATCTCTGCATGATTCAGGGGTAAACAGTTGCTGCAACAAAGTACTATTCCAAGATCTACCAGAATCAGACATTAACTCCCAAACCCAAGTCACCTGAACCTGATCAGAAGTCTGTTTGAGACATGGAATCCCAGTCATGCTTCCCAAAACCCAGGGATCAGAGAAGATCTTAGTGGAACCCCCATCATGCACTTGCTTCCTAAACCTCTCTTTATGCTTATTCAACACTTTAACCCAGGAATTCCAGAGCCAAGAAGCAGAAGTTTTACCTTTAACATTCAGCACACATTCATTGGGAAAATACTTCTCCTTCAAAATTCTTGTCATAAGAGAATTAGGTTTAGTAAGCAGTCTCCAGATCTGTTTCAGGATGAGAGCATCATTGACCACCCTAAAGTCTTTGAACCCAAGACCCCCTGCACATTTAGGAGTAGTAGCCTTTTGCCAAGCTAGCCAGTGCACACCTTGCTGTTGTTCCTTCCCAGATGACCACCAAAAGTTAGCACAAAGTTGTGCTATTTCTTTACACAC